CTGCACCGAGGTGTGCAGTGGAAGAATGTGAAGCACCAGACATCAGCTGGAACAAAAACATGCCGAATACATGGTGGGATGTGGGAGGGATAAAATTCCTCGAGAGGAAGTGGAATTGCCATCCTCAGGGTTGTCTGAACTTGCCTGGATCTGAGCAGTTGACTAGCATAAGCTTTGCTCAGAGCCGGGGTTGGGGGGACGACCAGATGACCTTATGATGTCCAGCTGGATTAGAATTACTCTGCATTTGGCAGACTTGAAAATCCTCACCAAAAGTGGTAGAAGGTCTCAGATTTGCCTTAAAAGTTCTGAAAGTACTCACCATGGGGAAAATACTCAGAAATTTGATGTAGTGCATTCTTGAGAGCAGTTCTGGACTACTTACTACCTGAAAGGGTTTGTTTTTCTCTTTCTGTATATGATGTCAGTTGGAACAGATAATTTCTGTGCGACATAAATATATCACAAGGTGGTACCTATGAGGTATTAATATATTACATAACCTGATTGCTTTAACTGTTATCTAAATCTCCTATGTCTTTATTCCTAAGATGCATTTGAGATAGCTTGCAAATTTACTCAATAGAGCTCACTCTGCTGGGACAGTGGTTGGCTCTTCTACATTTTCTTTGAAACATCTCTCTTCTCAAAAAATGTGTTTAGGAGTGATTAACCAGAATGTGTTTTCTTCCATTCGTGTTTTGTTTTGATCAGAATAGAATGATTCTGGCAAACTCTCTGACTGCATATAGGTCTGTAACCTGGGGAGTAATGGTTAATTTAACAAAGAGAAATGGATACATCATGCTTTGGTTTAGACTGAATTTTGCCTCCTGAGAACTGAGTGAACTGGAGTTTCTTTGCAAAACATAAATTCACAACTACTTGCCAATGAGTGAATAGTGAATATGCATCTGTATGACCTTCTTTTCAACTGAATCTAGTCAAGGATGACTACTTCAATGCAATTTCTCCATGGAAGAAAAACTTGTCTATTTTTTTCCTGAATACTCAGAATTTTTAGTATCTGTAAAGCATTTTCAGATGCACACTACAAAGTTGGGATTTTGTTTGGTTTGAGTGCAGTAGGTTTTTTTGTAGCACCTAAGAATCTTGACTGAAAAAAGGATCGTGTGTTACACAAAGCATGATATCACATATAGAACAAATTCCCTTGTGTTTGTGAAGAAATTGTGTTGCTAAAAAGAATGGTAAAATGGGGAGTGAAACAATCAAAATAGCTTGTCTGAATTTACTGAAACCACAAGTAGAAACTCAATCCAGTTAAATGAAGTCCTGAAATTTGGTCCTAAGTCTTCAGGACTTTCTGTCCGTTGGAGTATCTTTTCTATACATATTATGTGTCTCTTGGCTTGAATACTTCATTGTTATATAACCATTTCCATTCCTTTGGTCATGTTTTTATTGATATTCTTATCCTTTTGTGATGCATTTTTTAAAATTTGGGTTTGGGTGATTTTTTTTGTTTGTTTTGTTTGTTTGTTTTGTTAGGGTGTATGGCTTTGTGGGGTTTTGTTTCTTTGTTTTTAAGTCTGTGCTCTTAGTTACCACATTGTAATGCACGGAACAAGAGAAAGTATGAATCCATACAACTACTTATAAGTCCTTTCTAAGTCAAGCAGCTAAGGCAATTTATGCTAACTGAAGAATTGTTCTTAAATCTTGCCACTTAAATAATTCATTGTGTAAGACAGTCTTTCTACATTTCTTGAATGGTACGTTTACATTTACAGGTTATTTAAGCTTGTACTGTCCACCCTTATGTGATCTAACTGTTGCTTCTTTTTGTGGCGTAATAGAAGTTGAGTTGTGATAACAAAAAGTCTCCTTTAAAACTCACCTCATTAATATTGCGTTTGTTAGCAATTAACACCTACAACTACTTTAACTAAAGACCTAATTTTTTCATTTTTTCTCATTTACTTCTGTTGCTGCTGCTTTACTTGTGAGGACTTGTGCTGTTCACTGAGGTGTACTGTGGAGGACATTTCTTCAGTTATACGTGAGATACCTCATCATGTAATACTAGATTTTATTCTCTCTGCTGTCTTTTTTCAGCCAAGTAGGGGAAAACAGCAAAATTTCTTTTTTGAGATGTGTAAGCATCAGTGGTTGTGGTATTTAATAAAGCTTTTTGGTAGCTTTTGCTTTCTGCTGTTATCTTGTTGAATGTCAACAGGATTTCCTGGTTAGCACTGCTCATGCTTTGCTCATTTCTGCAATGCTTGGCCTATATGAAGAAATAAATTCTCAGCTTTGGTATTTCTTTAATGTATTGCGTGTTTATAGGATCAGTGCAGTATCGTGGTTGTAAGGATCATTTCATCTTCTGAGAAAAGAATTTCTTAGTGTTTGCTAGTAACCTCAACTCCTTTCTTCTAGTTTCATTAGTCTGTTTCAAGCACACAGAACTTTCATTTTGTTCACGATAGCTCTCAACTAAAATTCTGGTCTTGCTGCTTACATTGCAGGGTGTGTTTATGAGGTAGAGATCCACTGTCATTGTAGCATGAGAGTGTACAGAGCCAGTTTCTTCCTTGGGACACTCCACAGATAATGTTTAAAATTCCATTTGCAGTCTTCCCACTCCTAGAGTTTTTCCAGGCTTGACAAAGAGTCTGTCCTCACCACATACAACATTGATGTCTCTTGACTGTTCTAGGGATGCTAATAACTTTGTGGATAATGTGCCGTCTTCATACTTGACCAATTTATCAATGCCTTGTCTCTGATCATGGAACCACATATTCTGTAATGTGTGCTGCAAACCTTTATATGTAGCATTAATGTACATTGATGTCTCCTGTGCCGTGCGCTGTACTGAGTTTGATCTAAAAATTGAATGGTTTTGGAGGAGACTGAATCCCATACTTGTGCAAAGGGCACCATCATGGGAATCTTGCTGGAAATAATACTAATGTGCTTCACTTGGGAAGTGCAGCTGTATATGCAGTTTCCTGGCTTCTTTCATGTTGCATAGTGTTCCACAATGGTATGTAACCTCCATTTTAGTGCTTGTAAATTTAATCTGCATTCAAGGCTTAGCCAAACTGCCCCAAGAGATTATACTAATCTAAAGCTTCTACATCTGAATTTCCTAGTTTGTTCTTTTATCAGTTGTGTCACGGAAGTTGCTGTGCAAAATGCCAGAAATATGCTTTTCCTTAGTTTGTGTTAGTTCTCTTAGTGTTTAAGAGAAAGTAATATTTTGTATTAAGGTAGATTTTTACACAAAACAAGTGTCTTGCTGTGTATTGGAGATGTACAATAGGAAAGACAGGCTGGAGAATATGTGAAATAAGTAGCATATGAAGTTTACTTTAAAGAGGACCTAAACAATAAGTGGATAACTTAAGAGGAAATGTCATTGAAGAAGAATGAGTAAGGACAGTGGAGGGCAAGGAATCAAAAAAAAATGTATGAGCCAGAATGATTTGTGATACTTTTTGGTAGTTATGATTAAAAAAAAAAAACAACAGTACACTTGGAGAAAAAGCAGATTACCATGCTTGCAAACCTCAAGATCATTCCCCTTTAAGCAGCTTTTGGAAACAAGCTTTCCAGGTGCTTAATAACCAACTGTATGCTTCAAATGAGATCAGAAACTGAATCTAATTAAAGAACATTGCAGCCAACAGCATTCTGAAACTGAGAGATTATTTTTATATATTTGACATAGGATTGTTGGTCTTTTTCCAGACTTACTGTCTTTTGTTTGTAGTACAAGGTATTGGCTTTCATCCAGTTTGAAACAGAGGGGTCCAAGTTTAATGGCTACTGAAGTCAGCAAAATACTTGTACTACTGTTAACAGAAGCTTAGTACTATGTGAACTCTGACTTTCTGCTTTTTTGTAGTTTTGACATTTAATTCCCTCTGTGGGGTGTTGATGCTTCAAGGTAGAATAAGGGATGCTGCAAGAGGGTGGTGATATGTAGTAGCATTTAATGGTGGACTTGAAGCTGTATTTAATTGTTATTGTCAAATATTTTATTTATGTACCTGCATAGTCTTGTGCAGGCACCTGTTTAGTGACAATCTGAGGAATAAACACTGTGGATATTGCATGATTCTGTTTGTCCTAAAAGTAATCTGGCTTCTTACATTTTGCGCAGCAGTACTGCAGAGCAGAACAAACTTCTCATACTGTGATTTGTTGTGGTCTTACTATGTGTGAGACTGGTTATGAATCCATGTGCTCACATATTGCACACGCGCCACCCCCCACCACCCCGAGACATCTAGATATTTCTGGAAAGGATGCTGAAGAGTTTGAAAGCAGGATGAGTAAGATGATTCTCAAATTTCTAGGTTTCTATTTAATTTTCCAAGCAGTTCTCAAAAAACTGCTCAAGCTGTCTTCTCAAGCTTAAGCTGTCTGGATCTTAGAATAAAATTTAAATTTCTTGTGCTTCTTTTGTCTTGTTGCTTTTTTTCCCAACAGATATTTTGGTTTTACTCTTGTATTTGTGTGAATGACAGTTGTAAAAGTGCAGAAACACATTCAAACTAGCACTGAAAACAGGTATTGCAAGTAGGAGCTTGCAATTCAGTGGAATCCCTTGCATTATTTTTAGATGCTTTATTTAATTTTGTTTTACCTAGTGTAAATGTTCTCTGTAGTCAAGAAAGCACAGCTTCTACTATAATTATTTATTCCATATTTTTACATGGAATATGAGAAGTTGCCTTCAGTGTAAGAAACCAAGAACAGAGTGCTTTAGCTTCTTTTACATTGGAGTCTTCTGATAAACTGCTTATTTCTGCATTTTGCATTTTAAGTGTCAAATATGGCAGTTCATTAGAACACTTTGCCTATAGGGAAAAAATAATGTTTTATGTGGAATATACACCATTTCTGTGTTCAGTGAAATGCTCCTCACTAGAGTTTTGTTAAGTGTAATTTCTCAGCAAAAAGTAGATCTGGTGAGAAGCAATATCTACTTTTTCTGGAGGACTGAGCTGTTTAAATTCCTTCAGGTTGTTTTCTATTTTTTTTTTTCTTTAAGGGTTTTTTATTAAGTACATTTTAATGTTCATGATTAAAAA